CACTCCCCAGCAGGCAGTAGGCTCTTTGCAGAGAATTGACAGAATCCTACCACCTCCTTCCTGAACCTTTAACATAGTCCATAGAAATAGAGAATAAAACAGTACTTACCAGGGATAGAGGGGTAGAGGGGAGAGGAAATAAGTAGATGTAAAACAGTGGACAAACTTACAGATATATAGAGAGAATAAGTCTAGAGACTAATGTACCATACGAGGGCTACAGTTAATAACATTGTATTATAATCAAATTTTTACTAATAATTAATTTTTGATGCTCTTGCCACAAAAAATAACAAAAAAGGTGAATAACTATCTGAGATGAAGATATGCTAATTTGCTTGACTATAGCAACCATTTCTCCATGCATATCAAAACATCATGGTGTACAACTTAAACATACATAATAAAATTAAATAATTCCATTTTAACAAATTGCAAGCCTGTTAACCTGGCCTACAAAGGAGCTTGCTCCTGTCTACCTGCAACTATTTCTCATTAACTACATGCCATTCACACTGGTCTCCTTTCTACCCACACCCTCAAACTTGCTGAGATCATTCTTATCTCAGAGCCCATGCTCTGACTGGTCCCCATCCCTGGAAATATCTTCCCCTTTCTCAGAGTAGTGACTCCTCACTCTTCCTTCAATTTTTAACTGAAATGTAACTCTATTTCAAATATCTACTTCCATATACCCCCATGCACAATTTTAATTCTCTAGTCTAAAACACTATTTTTTAAAATCCCTCTTATCTCTACTGTGTTTCGTGTATATATTTCATGATACCATCCTGGTCACTATATGGTTTCCACGCAGAAAGATGCTGGTAGATAGTCAGCAAACAAAAACACATTTTTGGATTGAAGGAGAATGCCAAATTCAACACTTAGCACATGAAAGGTGCTCAAGTAATACTAGCTTCTATATTATCTCGCTCCTAGCCTTCTTCAGCATGGTTGCTATCAAAACTAAAGCTCTGATTTCTTTCAGTCTCCTCACACTAGCACAGGTCCTTCCCAGGTGTGAACTAGTCTGTGAGGTGATGCCATTCATTTTAGAAGGGGACAAACAGGAAATGATTAAGAAGCCAGAACGGAAAGCCCTGGTATTAATATTCATCTAAGTGAGATATCAATTTCAAGGCTTTGTTTTTTCTAAATGATTCTGGACTTACAGATCTAATCAAAAGAAATTCTTTCTGGAATAAAATGCAAGTAGTTTGCAAAGGATCGCCTGTTTGGGATTAGCTGTCTTGCACTCTATTGCCATGAATTTTTCAAAGTTGGCTGCAAATGCAAACTTGCAGATAAGTATAAAGCAAAATTAACAGTTCACTTTTTCCCCTGGCTACACACCCTGCACTACACAGATAGCAAAACACTGGCACAGCGTTTCTACTAGCTGATCCACATGGGTGGTTTTTGCTCCTGATGCCTGACAGTATGCTTGGGACCCAGTGAGTACAACTTAAATGTGCAAATAAAATCAGTTGTTTCCAAATTCAAAGTAAACCTCAAAGAACAATGGATTCCAAATGGATAGGAGAGATTTGCCAATGAAAGAGATAAAAGACATAAGGGTATGACAAACCCAATGACATTAGTTCTAGTGGTCTCCATTTCCACCTGAGTCACAATTCTTTCTCTGGTTGACAGAAGAGCACAGACTGCTCTTTTAAAAATACAAAATACAATTCTCTTAAAATTAAATTTATGCTTTTCTCATCTAATAGATTGTGGACAAAGAGTAGAAAATATCTAAGAAAGAATAATTTAAAAATGTTAAAGCCTTGCCTTAGAGAAGAAAAGATTAACCATATTTTGGAAATCAAAGGAAAATACTACAAATCTATTAGTACCTAGAAAGCACCATGATTCAGTGTTGTCTCCTTCATTGAAGGAGGACATGTATTATTTTCCTAATGCACCAAACAGCAAATTCCACTGTGGGAATCCTTGCCATTGGCACCTATAGCAACGTCATCTAATTTTTATAAAGCTTCAAAACATCGGGACCTTAGACAGTTGGTAATACACCGCTTCATATATACACTCAGCCAGTCACATACATATATATACTAGTCCATACTCTGATAGTAAATGGCAGGTAGTAGTATATTACCTTCCAGAGTTTTACCATTGATTGGTGTTTCATAGCCATGGTAGAGAGCTAAGAAAAAACTAGCACACCAGCATTGCAAACAATGGCAACAGCTTATTTGTGCCCAAGTAATGAATTGCATATTGGGGTAAGCAACCACCTAAAAAGTTCATAAAAATGCCCCTATGATTTAAACATGGAGTATTGGATTTATATTTCAGAGTTCTATTTGTAACAGATATTTTCACATCCTTGTTTTTGGCACCCACCTTTGTATATCAAAGTGTGCTACTGTAAAAACCTATGATTTCCTTCTAAGAAAAAAAAAATATTTTCTGGCTACAGGAAAGAGTATACTTGGTCTGTGGTGAGAGAAAGCCCAAGGGCTAGAGAGTCCATATAGCTTGAAGCATCTCTCATTCTATGGCAAGAAGAGGTATAACTTATAAGTGCATCATTAGCTTCCTCAGGACTTGGTTGGGACCATTTGGGGTCATGATCTCCTGGCGTTTCCAGCAGAGTTGAGCTCTAGCTTACACAGTGCTCACTTGCTTGATGACACATCCTTTATTGGCTTTATTTCCCAGTCTCATTTCCCACTTTCCTACTGAAGTTTTCTGGGATTAGCCACATAAACCACTTGATTCTAAGCTTTGCATCTAAACTAGACATTATCTTTAGTCCTTTTTCTTTTCTTTTAGGATGAAATTTAATTTTCATTAAACATTATAGGACCCATATCCCTTGTTATTAATTGCACAGAAATATGTCCCTTACCAAATAACAAGTCCAGAAAAGTCCTACAATTCATGGAATTACACATGGGATGGTACAAACACTTGTAAAAATTAGATGATTCTGAAAACCAATAGAAAAATCTAACTATAGAAATCTATTTGAGTAGATCTAGCAGTAAATGGAAGAGTAGCTGCCTATCATCTTTATTTTTCTTTTACAACTCTCCACATATTTTTTCTCTCTCTCCATATATATGTACATGTACGTGTGTGTGTGTGTGTGTGTATCTGAATTTCATTCTTCTGTGCAAACATGTATTTGCTGGGTATATTCACAAATATAACCGATATACTGAAATTAATATTTACTCAGCATTTCTATATTCTTAGCATGACTTTAAAACCTATACTATAGTCCCCAGAGCATGTCACTCTATTGCAAAGATAAGTCTTCACTATACAGAAAGATGCAAGATGAATACAAAAAAAAAAGTATAACTGTTCAAACATGGAATTTTATGGAAATTAAAAGAATTATACCAATATACTAAATGCCAAATTTTATACTGTGACAGTAGTTCAAATGGAAGAAAGATGCAGCCAAGTAAAAAATTTACCTAGAATCTTCTGCATTGCAGACTTCAATATTAGAGATAAATCCATAAGCCAATGACCTGAAGGCCTTAATTTCTTCTGGATGCTCTTGAATGGTTTGGAACAAATACTGTTAACATTCTTCCTGGGTATCCATACCCATTCATTTGATGAGCCAGTCAACCAATATTTGTTGGGCATCATCCCAAATACACATCAGTAAGCCAGACAAAATCCCAGCCCTCATCAAGTTTGTGTTTAAAGGGGCAAAAAACAGATCAACAATTAAGCAATTATATTTATAATATATTGTCAGGTAATGGGATTCTGACCAAAAAAATAATAATAAAAATGCATGCCTAGTGGGACCAGATAATAATGGACAAAATAATTCTCTAGATGAGTGGTTATGGATGGTTTCTCTGAGGAGTCATTATTTGAAAAAAGGGAATCAGTTCTTAAAGAAGAGATAATAAGATGTTCCAAACAGAATAGTAGCCAGTACAAATACCCTGAGCTAGGGATAAGTGTTTTACATTAAAGGAAAAATTGCTAAGAAGACCATGATAGGTAAGCAAAGGGGAAGCCATACGTGATGTGAGAATGAGCAGGCAGGAGTCAAATACTCCAACTCTCCTAGGCTGGTCGTTTGGATTTAATTCTGTGTGCATGGAATGCCACTGGAAAGTTAAAAAGATAATTCTGGCTATTGTGTAAAGATTGGACTATGGACTGGTTCTACAAACTGAAAGTTATCACCATTGAACGAATGGTATTTCCATCTTGGTCCTGAGCAAATTTAGGGAAAAGTAAAAGTTCTAAGAACATATAGTCCTGGGACAGTCATACATTCAGAACTTAAAAAGGAGAAGAGTGGTCAGAAAAGAAATTTTTAAAAGAATCAACCAATGAAGCAGGGAGAAAGCAGGAAATATTCTTTAAATATGCCTGCAACAGGTTCCAGATGAATTCAAATGGGAATTCAGAGTCTCACTGTTAGTGGAAATATAAAGACAATGATCTTCCCAGGGATCCAGATATAAAAGTTGTTATGCAAAGTGGCTCTGGTTGTATCAGAAAGAAGAAGGACTTCTGAGCACAGTGCAGTTTAAGGGACACTTGCAGAAAAGGGAGACAAACTTCGTGGTATCTCTTGTACCACCCTGTCCAGAGTGAGAGCCTTCAAGTTCTGACAGAAGAGATAGGTGGGCTCAAAATCCAAAAGGGCTGGTTCAATGCATGCTGTGGAATACTGAGTATGAGAGCTGCTTAAACCAGATGACCCAGCCAGTGAGAGGAGTGTTCTTCCACCTATGCACAGACCTGGATGCTGTGCCTGCAACATAGACACAGGTAAACCATACAGGGCACGGCAGTAATGTTATGATACCTCTTAATGACAGCATTTCTGTGATGCATGTGACTTTCATGGTATATTAGCACAGACTCCAACTCTAGAACTCAGTTCCTATGCAGTATATTTTGTTGCCACTAGACCACACAGCCCAACCAGCTCCTTCACACACATGCTAGTACTACCACTGGCATCCTGTGCAGACACAACCAACCTGTGTTATAGAAAGATCCAGTCCATTCTGCCTCAGTTTTAGGAAATACAGAGATTGGTGGAGGCAGACCCAGGGCTCCACCATCCATATCCTTGAAGAGATATTTTCTTGGACTTTCACAATCTGATTCAGGGCAGGTCACTCTTTCCAAATCTCTCCTACGAAGAAAGACAAAAAGCAGCTCTCATTTCATGATAGGCAGCAAGAAGAAAACATTGGGTAGTGCTAAGCTCATATATAATAAGTTCAACAGAATTGTATCATTAATAATATGTTAAGTAGATATGAAATAAAACTTCATAGAAAATAAGTTATTTCCCAGTTACTTGGTCAAGAAGAAAGAGAATTTTATTAACAAAATATTCTGGACATCTGGTTATGTAATATTTATATGAATTATTGAATTTCTAAGAGGCAAGGTATGATACATGCTTCCACTTCTGGTATCTACTGAACACTATAATAATTTCTTCATAGACATTCAGAGTTTTGTAATATTTTAAGATTATCTCTATAAATATAACTATATTTAAACTATATACAAACAGTAAAAATAGATAATCTCATTCAAAGATCTATTGGAAAGTACTACTGACAGGTTGGGTAATGTAATGGTGATATAACTATATATTATCCCTGCACTTCTAGAATTTAGTTGAGTAGTATATAAAATAAGTAATAGGTATGTACCTTATAACAGTGAATTATAGATCATTTATTTTACTTTGGCTGATCTACTATTTTTAGGTGCCAGTAGTAAAAATATTAAATATTGATTTATGTCAACAACATGTTGGTATTATAGTACAAAGAATGAAGTATCATGTAATGCTGTGGTTTGAATGATGCTGCTTCTCCAAAATTCATGTTGAAACTTAATCTCAATGCAACTGTATTGAGAAGTATGGCCTTTGGGATATGACTGAGTCATTAGGATAGGGTCTTCATGAATGGGATTAGCACCCTAATAAAAGGGCTCAACATTGAAGACAGACTCTTTGTCCTTCTGTCCACTCTACCAGGGGAGGATATCATATTCCTCCGCTCAGAAGGATGAAGCAGACAGCAGCCCTCACATGATACCAATCATGCTTGTGCCTTGATCTTGTAAGAAATAAATTTTCTGGGCTTTACAAATCATCCAGTTTATGATATTTTGTTAAAGGCACACAAACTGACTACAACATGTAGCTTTACAATTATTTCAACCCATAGGTATGAGAAGTGAACAGAAGAAAAATTGGACAATAGAAGGAAACATGGCTATTCACAATGGATTGCATATCTAAGTGCTTAGGTACCTAAAATGGTTCAAGAATGAACATCAAAAAAAAAGGGTGGGGGGGACTGGTGTTAGGCCAAACACATAAAGTTTCCAGTTAGGGTGGGATTTTTTAGATTCTTTTCGTAAATTAACGGAGTTTCTCCAGTGTTGTGGGAAAGTACAAGTGATCCATACTCCCTGTCTAATTTTCATATTCTTGAAAAACTTTCAGATCCTGTGTCAAAGAACAGTAGTACCACAGGGTTGAAATGTGAGTATTTGTCTCGTGGTTCAGCTCAAGAATTCTGGGGAGAAGACATAATCTCCTTCTATATTCTTGTGTCTGCACAAAGTCTCTCAAGATCTTTGCCACCTCATAACCAGGATCTCTTTCTGAATACTACTAACACTGTACTACTGCATAAAAGAGTGATGAATTAGAGCAATTTGTTTCCAGTTATTTTGAAAATATTCCAAAAAATTCTCTCTAATTAAGACAAAACTATAAAACAGCATCAATAAATAGTTCTCCTCATCACTTCTACCTCTTTTGTCAGCCAAAGAAAGGCAGATGGTTTAGTCCAAACTCAGGGGGAAGAAAATAACTTCTGCCTAGTTGGAAGAGATATTTCAAAAATCATACAGGAAAGGACAAGAATATAGGAGGGGTAAAGAACTGAGGTCATTAAATCAATGTCCTATTTCATTCTACAACAACTTATTTCTAGATCTTTGATGATTTCATTTTTTCTAAAAAATAGCTGGGGATGGTTGAAGAATTGCCAAATACTTCAAAAACATGACTTATTCTCAATAATCAAAGTGGTACCTGTGGTGTAATGGAGGAAAGTAGAACTTGTTCTCATCTTTCATCCTGAGCATCCTAGTCCTTTCTGCAATTATTGGGTGCATGATTCCAGGGCTCTCTACATTTGGCAGAATACAAATGTCCAGGTCACCACTAGAGCAACTCTTTACAAAACCAGAAAAGGTGACACCTGGAAAAAATTTTAAAAATATACTATAATATTATATCATATAAGTCATCAATCACAAATATGGATTCCACAATGAAATATTCCCATAAATAATGGATATCCCAGAGTCAGTTTAAAGCTATTCAGGACAGGCTCAGGAGTTTCCATAAGTTTTGATATAAAATATCCATAATTTTTAACACATGGACATTGTATGCAGAAGAAAAGAGTATTCTAACACATTAAAGTCTTTAGAATAATACTTTTATCAAAGACTTGATCAAAATCCATTTATTTTACAGAAAAACCAACTGCCAGGTAAACTAAGTGAGTGGGGAGTGAGTACATTAATCCAAAAATGATCTAAGAGGAACTGCACAAATTGTGGTAAAACTATGATTTTAACCTTAGCTATTCATCCCTCTACTAGCAACATCACATGAGGCATAATCCCTGCATCTCAGTTTACTCTATTATATAACAGGATAAATAGCATCTAGCTAAAAGAATTGTCAAATAATCAAGTTAAGTAATTGCTATGAAACCTCTCCAACATGTATAAACCAATTAACTGCAATAACTCACTTTCATTATAAACCACATTGTGGCTATAAAAACAGAAGACTATAATTGGACACAAGCACTAGACTACACTAGACCTTTTGGTTGATATAATTTCTGAATGCTATTTAAAAGTCTATGCACACATGTATGAATCCGTTTGGATTACTTGGATAAGTCCAAACACCCTACCTTCAAGTTTCATGATTCCTGAAACTGAATAGCCATTCCTCACTTTGTGCCATGGCTCCAGAGGCCACTGGTTTGGTTCTGAGGTGAACCCAGGCCACAGGATACCAACGCGGCCTCCTCTAGGATTGGGAGGCGCTCGATCTGTTGATGTCACATTGGCCGAGTAAGGCTTCATTCTGTCCTGAATACAGTCAAAAGAGGAGCTGGTGGCTATAATGACTGAATTCCTAAGCACAATCTGCACATTTCTGATGGATCTCTGTGGAACAGAAGACACATATACTGCTGCCAAAAGACCAATAGCATTGTCTACCAGAGTGATATTCTCCATCTCCACGCTATTCTCCACCTGTATCATCGCACCATAGTCAAAGTTCTTGAAAGCCAGGAAGCCAGTGATACAGGTACAGTTGTCAGGTCCACTTTCCTTAAACACATGAAGACCATGAAGGTTTGAGTGGGCCACGTTGCCAGACCAAAGCACTTGAGAGGAGCACCTGTGTCCTCGTAGGTGAAAGCCAAGTCTCTCTGATCCTGCCACAACATTGCCATGGAGGTAGATATCCTTTGCGCGGTTCACTTTGATTCCTGCCACCCAAATGGCAGACCACACTGACTGTGTCATCAAAACTGCAAGATTATTAGTGAGAGAGTAGGCCTGACCCTCCAAATCAATGCCATGGCCAGCTGTGCCAAACACTATATTGTCGTTTAAAATTATGCCATGACTTGCAGATGCATGAATGCCCCCGCCACAGCTCTGGTGTACCGTAGAAGATATGATCCAGGATCCTGCTGACACATTAGTGAATTCAATGGATGAATGTGATGGTGAGCCAAAATTCTGAATTTCCACATTTAGAAGTTGAAGGACACCTATCAACAAAACACATGTCATCAGGCTTCTTCCTCATAAAATGCAAAAGGAAGATCCACTACAGGGCATCAGAACATGCAGATTTTTTAAATTAAAATGTAGCAGTTTATACACAACAACAGATCTATATTTCACACCACTGAGTCTCACTATCAAAATATGAATCACTAGTAATATCAAATTAATTCATAAAAAGATTCCATGTGCAATCTGAAGTGTCTAGAATAGGATGGGGAGAGAGGAAAGAAAATGTAAGGAAAAGAAAGAGGCTTTGGATTTAGGTATAGCTGGTTTAAAGATTCTGTGCATTTATGGAGGGCTGAGTCAAGGTCCTGGGGAACAATGAAAGGAACATGTGTTCCTGGCTTCTCACCTGAGTCAAATCTCCCTCTCTGTCACAGTGAGTTCAAGTAAAAAGACCACAACCATCTCCACAAAGATATCGTGTATATGATATAATGACCAACCCCTTAAAACACTCCAAACATTTCTTAAGAGAAGTACAAGTGCAAAATTTACTTGTGTCCAACTAATGTCCAGAAATCTAAAATTAAATGTGCTACTTGATGGAAATATAACAGAAACCATAACACACTTTCAAAATAATTCAAAAGACCTTGTGAAATCTTTTCTGTATTCTTGTCCTAACTATACTTTATTTCCTGTTTCGTTTCTATAATAACAAGATTTTCTGCAGCTTTTATATCAGAAGAGAATAGTAAATTATTTAGTCTCTTTGAGGATTTTATTTGTACTGTTTTAAGGAGATATTGTTACCATGGGTAAAAAATATTCACCCAGTACATTGATTTTAAAATATAATGAACATTAATAAGTCAGTGTATATATTCCTGATGACAGGTGAATTCTTATAAATTAATAATGAACTGAATTAGTAACTATAATACATAACTCTAATATAAAGCTTATTATATGCCAGGTCCTATTCTAATTCATGTATATGTCAAATCTTAATTTTTACAAATATCCTATGAGGTCAGTATAGTCATTATCCCCATTTTGCTGATAAGGAAACAGAGGAAAAAAGGTTTAACTGACAAGCTAGGACTGGGACTTGGGCATATGCTGCTATACATAATGCTGTGCTATTAACCTAGGCAGCACACTAACCAGAGTGGAAGTTGTGGCGGTACAAAGGGACTAACTTTGGATTGGATTCAGGTAATTGGGCTATAAATGCCAAAAACACATCATGCATTTTTTTGCTAGGTGGGGCACACCTTGGGCCCTCACTCCTTTCTTTGGCTTTTGGAATTTTGAGGTACTGAGTACTGACAAAGGTAAAGTAGAAAGTTATTTCTTCCATTAAAAATTAGGACACTATGCATTTAAAGTTTCAATTTCACTGTTTAAGTAATCGTATTTAAAGCTCAAATGTAGTCCAGCCTAAACCCTTCACTTCTCCCCTGCCTTTTTCACAGATGAAAAGTTAGAACCCTTGAAAATCAGCTTCTGTGAAGAAACAAGCCCTGTGGGAAGGACACAAAGTGATAGACATATGGGTCTCCTTGTGACCAGACAACAGGATTCCAGCATTTCTCAGCTAATACTGCTTGAAGAGGAACTGATAGATGTTATAGAAACATTCACAATGATAAAACATCCAAAACATACTCATCAGGTGATATAGCTTGCCTTGGCACAAAAGGCACCGAATGCAAGAGCAAGTCCACACACAAATAGCTCGTTTTCTATTACAGATGGTAGTTCTAGTGCCTCAGTCAAGGCATCATTTCATTATTTTTAATGGCTTATACTTGTATGATTGTAATTCACAGTTTTAAATTGTTCAAGACCTATTACTTGCATGCAAAGTAACCAATGACTAAAAATTAATCGGTAGCAAATACTTCAAATGTCTTGAGCAATTATATGAAGAATTAAGCAATAATTTCATTCTTAAGTACTTTCCTACTTTTCCTTTTGAATCACAGTTCTGAAAACTTTCTAGCTAGATGTTATTGGTCAAAAAGAGAAGAGTGATATAGCCTTCCAATTTAAAGTAGGAATTGTCCTGGCCTGCTTTGCAGTCCTATAACCATTCAACCCCTATGGGTGGCCTCCCTGACCTACCCCTGCAAATTCTACCTCATCCAGGCTCTGGTGTGTTTAGGGATGGGCTGGGGTGGGGGTGCTGATATTTTAATTTTTAATATTATAATTTATACATAGCAGTTAGCCTCATTTTGACAAAATCATGCATGCAAGTAATTTGATTTTAATCCCCATTCCCCATCCTTGCTTTCCTTCCCTCCTCACTTCCCTATTATCCTCCTTCTACTTGACTGATATTCTTTTTGCTTCTTTATTTATTTATTGTTAATTGGTACTTTCTACATATGCATAAAGGTAAAATTTCCTTTGGTACACTTATATATGTATATAACATGATTTTCTTAGTGTTTTAGTCTTTTTTGTGTGTGTGTGTGTGTGTGTGCTGCTGTGACTAAAGGACCCAACCAGCGCAATTATTTGAGGGATCACGGTTTCAGAGGTCTTAGTCCTTAGAAGGCCAGCTCCATTTCTTGGGCTAATGGTGAGGCTGAACATCATAGCAGGAGAGTGTGGCTGAAGGAAGCAGCTCACATCACGGTGGTCAGGAAGCAGAGAGTTCTCCCCATGCCAGATACAAATTTATACCCAAAGCCACGCCCCAATTTCTACATCCTCCAGCCACACCCTACCACTTCAGTTACACATAGTTAATCCCTATCCTGGTTAAACCACTTATTGTGTTAAGACTCTTACAACTCAAATCATTTCTCCTCTGAACCTTCTTGCACTGCCTCACATGTAAGCTTTTGGGGACACTTCACAGATTCATTCCACAATTCCTCCACTTTCCCATCCTTCCTCCCTTTCTTTTCTTTTCTACCTTCTATTCCACTAATCTTTTCTATGTATTTATATCTTATTCCTACCACCATCTGACTCCTTTCCCTTGTTTTGCTTTAGCTTCCACATATGAGAGAAAACATTTGACCCTTGATTTTCCAAGTCTGGCTTATTTCACTTAGCATGATGTTCTCCATTTCCATCCATTTACTGACAAATGCCATTATTTCATTCTTCATTGTGAGATTAAAACTCCATTATGTTAAATATACCATATATAATTTTTTTATATTTTTTATTTTGAGACAAAATCTCATCAAATTGCTTAGGGCCTTGCTAAGTTGCTGAGGCTGGCTTTGAACTTGGTATTCTCCTGCTTCCCTTCAAGCAGCTGAGATTAGAGGTGTGTGCACAGCACCTGGCTATGCATCAAGTTTTCTTGATCCACTCATCTACTGACAGGCATCTGGGCTGATTCCATAATTTGGTTATTGTGAATTTTGATGCTACAAACATTTAAGAGACTATATCACTATGGTATACTGATTTTAGTTCTTTTGGATAAATGCCAATGATTGAGACAGATGGATCATATGGCAGTTTCATTCCTAGTTTTTTAAGGAATCTCTATATTGCTTTCTAGACCTATTGTACTAATTTGCAGTCCCACCAATAAAGTACAAGTGTACCTTTATTCCCACATTCTCATCAGCATTTATTATTATTATTTGTATTTGTGTTCTTGATAATTGTCATTCTGATTAAAGTGAGATGAATTCTTAGTACAGTTTTGATTTTTATTTTCCTGATCATCAAGGTTTCTTAATGTAGAAAGATAACCTGTGTTGTAATCTGGAACAGAAATGGATATGGGTGAAAAAACAGGTGAAATAAGAAAAATGTCTTGAGTTTGATTAATATTAATATGCCAAAGTTGATTTCTTAGTTTTCACAAATGTACCAGTGTTATGTCAGATATTAACAGTAAAGTAAACTGGGTGAAAAAATTATTGGGGTTCCTCATACTATCTTTATAACTTTGTTAAAACCCCCAAATTATTACAGAATTAAGTTCTTATTTAATAAGGACTTAAGAGTAAGGTTTGAATCTGCCACTTACTAATTAAATGACTTTTATTACTCTTCATTAATTTTATCTGTTCATATTTAATAAGTACCTAATACACGGCAGTCACCATACTAGGAGAGCAGAAATGAAAGGCCCAACCTTACCCTCTAGGAATTCACAAGCTTATTAAGGAGTTATACAAATAAATAGGAAATTGAATTACATACTGTTTCCTACTATAGGAAGATAACATGTCTCTCTCACAAAACTATTAGGATTAAATAAGAACAAAGTTTCCACTGGGTGAAAACCAGCATGCTTCCTATAAGAATTTAATATAGTTTCTCTTTATCGCCTTGGCGATACTTTAGAAAGCCCTAAATGAGTAAAGTAAGAGGTTTAGATAAGTCTTGATGCTAGTTCTGCTCATGCCTCATGCTCAGCTAAAACCTTATGTTCGGTCTTCTCTCCTGTTCCAGGTCCATGCTCCAGCCTGGCCTACAGTCTCAATTAACGGAGGTCCTATCTTGTCCCTTTCCTATTCTCCATATTCATAACATCAAATGTCTCATTTCTACATGACCAGAACCCAGCCTTTGTCTCAGTCTTCTAGAGCAGGATTTCTCATCCTCCACATTATTGACATTTGACCCAGATGGGTGACTGTCTTGTGCATTGTAGGAAATTACAGGATATACCTACTTGACGCTGGAAATGCCCAACTTGTGACAAATAAAATTGACTGGGCTGGGGTCGTGGCTCAGTGGTAGAGCACTTGCCTCACATGTGTGAGGCACTGGGTTCAATTCTCAGCACCACATATAAATAAATAAATAAAGGCCCATCAACAACTAAAAAAAAAGGTTTTTAATAAATAAATAAATAAATAAATAAAATTGACTACAAATACTGCCAATTGCCTCCTAGGGGTCAAAAAAAAATCACCTCTGGCAAGTCTTTATGGAACTAGAACTTGTGGAGAGAAAACTTGTTCTATGGACCAGAAATCCTGAATCTGTAATTTAGAGTTCAAATATTGCCTTTTGCCAAATTGGTGAGACAGATGCATCAACAGAAGGTCCCATGATGAACATATTTGGAAAGTGGCTAGATCCTTTATTACAGACTTTCTCTGAGATTTCATTATATTTGTGTTCGTAGCAACTTTCCAAAATGGAACCACAAAGATAGCCTTTCCCAAACTTTGGGAGCGACTTTGGAATGTTTAAGAAGCACAAGTTTAAGTTTAAGAAACGAGGTCCTAATCAAACAATTTTGCAACATTCCAAAAGGGCTAAAGCTTGAATAAAAAAGAAAGATTGAATTGATCCTTAAAGCAGTGGAAAATATGGAAATCATTTTTATTTAAATGTAAGCCATTAATTTATAGCATGAGCTGATGTCTGCCATCAGATATAGCATGCTACTGGGAACAAGTAATAGAAATTCAGGAAAGAGATAAAATTCAAATGGTCATTAAATCATCTATAATTTCAAAGCAGAGGAAATTTCACATCTGCTGAAGATTTTTTTTTTTTGAGGTAAAAATGTGCATATGTGCTGATCTCTGGTATATTATTTTAACATCACATTGATAATTAAGCACAGATTAGGACTGAAAATTCATAGCTTTTTAGAGGACAAAGGAACATCTAATTTGAACATTCTGTATTGTAAGTGAAAATTCTCACAGTTAGAATTTCTGAGTGTCCCAGATAAATAGGTCCCAAGTGGTAATGGTTAGTAACTTAAATTTCATTTACCTGAAAATTCTTCCCTGCTAGACTTCCTGAAGGACCCCACAAGTAGTCTCCCCTTACACAATGTGTCAGACTGAATTCGTATATTTCGGGTCAACAGTCCAACCTCAGCAGCCAAATGGATGTGTTGGCCATCTTCCGTGACGTGGACACTTCCTGGGGCAAAAGGAGTTGGGAAGAAAAAATAAAAAACATTTAAAAACCTATTTTGGAAATGGCTAGCTGGGGACCCAGTGCATCTCACAAATGAAAACACTTCTTTCCCCTCGGAAGTCCTACCAACATTAAGGTCTACTTTTCCTCGGGCATTCTTCACAAATGTCAGTTGAGAAATGAAAAATCTGTTCACTTGTCTCTCTTTGGGATCAGAGTAAGTGTTTGAGTGAGAATTCATCTCTTCTCAATAACTGTGGGGACCAGAACAGGCCACTGGTACAGAGAAATCAAGGCAGACCTGTCCAATTAGCAGGTTTCCAGCTCCCTTCCTTAAATCGCCATTGTGAGATGCTGTATATCATCCACCAACTTCTTCCAGGAGAGTAAGGAATCCCAGATCAGCCCAGGCAGTGACAGAGCACAAGCTGCAAGGTATTAGAGTAAAGCAAAAAGAGAAGCAGCACGCTCTCACGGCAAGTCTCAGGCTTTCCACTTCTTGAACAAGCTCCTACAGCATGGGATGGAAGGATGGAAGGACCTACTGGCCAGTCTCATGGCCTCCATTGCCATTTTACTTTGGCTTTTATGAGCAAAGATTGCTGATGATTTCTCTTTACTTTGCTACTTTTTTTTTGTTTTTGTTTTTTTTTTTTTAAAGAAATCAATCCAGGCATGGTAGCACAGGCTGCTCAGGAGGCTGAGGCTCAAGGATCACTTGAGCCTAGAAGTGTGAGACCAACCTGGGCACCATAGTGAGACCCTCATCTCAACAAAAATAGACAGAGAGAAAGAAAGAGAGGGGGGCGGAATTAATCCTTGAAATTATGACTTAGAAGTAGTTTCAGACAGTGTTGGTGGAAACATATAATTCCCTCTTACATATATAATACAAAAAAATTATCTAACCCTTTTATTTTCATATTTTGTCACTAAATAGCTATATCTCCTGAGGTGGATTTATTTAATAGAACAGGAAGATTATACTTGTTTATTATTTATATAGAGTACATTTGTACTATGTATAGAATATAAAAATATTAAGTATTTTTACAAAAAGATATTGTAAGTTTTTCTCCTTTTTTAGTCTTAGTAGCAGCAGCAATCAATATATAATATGTATTTGGTGTCAGGAAGGATACATTTCTAAGTATGGAAAATGAAGTAATTGTTGACAATAACTAGCATATTCTATGGGATTACGAATTCAATGTGCCAGGAAATTAACTGGAAAGTTAGTGTCTATGACTTTTATTCTGGCTTAGCCACAAAACTGCTCAGTGACCTTGAACAAGATTCTCAAAGCTTCTACTCTTAGACTTGTCATTATGAATTAAAAAAAAAAAAAAAAAAAAAAACCTCCCTTATATCTAAGTATTCTTTAACAACTAAAATGAATGAAGAAATAAAGATAAAGTCTTCTGGGGTAAGTCCAGGGCAGCAATAAAGGCATATCCTTTCCTTTGAATGGCAACCAGATGAAAGATCCATAGGCAGGTGTCTGAGCACCTGACGCATTCACTTCCTTCAACCAACAAACCAGAGCTTTACCAGTGTGCTGGTATTTGAGGCGTTCGTGGATCCTGACATGATGACCCTTGACTTCTTTCACAGTGAGGACCTCTGCTTCATGAGGCTCATAAGAAGTGGAGCTAAGGACCAATTTGTCATAGGGTTGCCAGTCCACAGCATCTTCTACTATAATTCTGTAACAGCATAAAGATGGTGTCAAATATATGAGTAGTGCAACAGAGATCAGCTAATTCTACAGAGAGCAAAGGAAATCCCAGCAAATGACAAATCCTTCAAGGAAACTGAGAAGGAAACAAGAAGACAAGGAAAAAGGCATTTGCGTACATTTTAATCCTAATGGAGTCCAGTTTCTGACTTGTTTATGTACACATTACAGGGATGCAAAGATATTCTATAGCCATGAAGTTCAAGGCAAAGGAATATAAAACAGTATGCATTCCAGAGCACAGTGTGTGCATCTTCATGTGGTCTTCTATACTAGCAATCTTCCTTATTGATTGGGAAACAGAATGATAAATAAACAAATCTTTCCTCAACTTTTCTGAAAAACTGTGTTGCATTTTTGGACAATTTATCATGCATTAACCCTTAAAGCTTCATGGTCAGACAGATACAAGTGTGAGTCTTAAAGGTGCCAGTTTCTACTGCATGACACTGACCAGTCTGTCACACTGCCAAGCTTTTCCTGGTGAATATGGCTGTTTTATTCTCCATTCACAGTCTTTACCAATTCCAACAGTGTAAATTTGTTTTAATGTCCCTTCCTCTTTAACTAATGCCCAAATCTTAGCAAGCTTTGCCCCCAGATGCTTTCCTATCAATGAATGCTCATCTAGGCACAGGGTACACATGCAAGCCATTCAATCATGCAAAATATGCTGAGAGAACCACTGCTCTATAGACACTATAGAGGTCCTACAGACACAACAGTAAAAAAAAAAAAAAAAAACTATATGTCATGTGTATTTAAAATAATAGCTTAGAGATTTTTCTACCGTAGGGGTGGAGGATTAGCTGACCATTTATGTGCCAATAACATGAGTCTCTTATGAACCAAAGATTGTAATTAATTCAAACCTGTGCACCTTAAGTTAGGAAAAAAAAAGAAATATAAAATGGGAATACAGCAAATTCATGCAATTTTAATGAAAGAAATCAGGGTATTACTTCTGTTCCTGATTTTCTATGATTTCTAAGGAAACGCAGTAACAGAATACTAAAATGAATGCTAACTTTAAAAAGCAAGGAGACCATGATTCAAAGATATAGCAAAATTCAAATTAGGTAACTGAATGGAGTCAGAGAATGAGTTGGTACAAAGGAGAACCTGATCACGCCCAAAATTCTTTACACTAAATAACATTACTTCACCTAATTCTTAGTTCTTCACTTGTTAAATTGTAAGGGAAAAAAACCCACACTACTCCCACATTTCATAATATATCATAGTAATCATGAAATAATAAAAAAAAAAACTGGTAAATACACTGGAGACTATATATTCATTTTAAAAATACATTACTATAGGAGTGTACAAAATTGCAAAGAATTTTGCTCATGAGGCATTGATTAAAAAGCAGGATATAAAACAACATGCCTCATTTAAAAACAAACAAAAAACATAATACATGCATACCAAATAGAAGATAGGAAAAATACATGTTAAAATATTAGCCCACCTATGAGCAATGAATTTATTCATGATTTTTACTTAAATCTAAATTTTTAACTTAGCAGGAAGTACATTACAGTAAGAAAAAATACTTAAAATCACACCAAAGTCAATTAATAACAAAAAATCAGTCTTTTCTCCCATAATCTGTATTAGGTAATCTTTTTTATTATTTGTGTTGCTGAATAAAGCTCTTCAGGAAATAGATCACCATAATAGTGTAAAAAGATCCTTATAAATGAGATTAAATTTCTCCCACATGGAACACAGGGAGTTTTGAGAGCAGTGTATGAGGTGATACACATCATTATACATATATCAAAATTCATAGAACATAAAATTCCAAGTGAACTCCTATGTAAGCTTGAAAAAAAAAATACTCAGTCACTAACTCTTTTATATAAGTCCTCTACTCCAGTAAGAGGAGCTTACTTTCCCTTTTAGTTCACTCATCCTAAAATTCTACTTTGTTTCAAGAAGTCTTCCCTGGGAGTCTGAATGCTCAGCCTTTTCTGTACCATCAAAAAGTTCACATAATTCTAGTGCCTTGTTCTCATTTCTTCTGTGTCTATCTAACTTTAGTATTTTAGTTACTGTTTATGAAAAGATGACCATCTAGATGTGCACATCCCATAGCATCTAATAATGCACTAGGGAAAGAGTACATGGAATTATTAAAACTATTAGTCCAAACATTACATTAAAAACACAAATGAGCTTAATCTGACCTTTTCCATGAAGGTTTCAAAACCTTATAAGATCATGGAAAATAAATTTCTCCTCTATACTACCTGGAGATTTGGAATTCTATATGTCACAAGAACAACACAAAGGTGTTAAAAGCACATCGTCCCTTCCATTTCTAATGTGTCTATATAGTAACAGTGGTACTTCAGGGAAAACTGTGGTCCCAGTATCAGTTTTCCTTCAATTTCAACAGCCACTGTTACTAGTCCCAGTCTTCTACCATTTTGGTTATCCTTCAGTCATTTCAAGAAATCCTAACTTGATAACTATAAATTTTTTAAAAATGCAGCTATATTTTATGCTTCTGATTAATTCTAGTGAGAGTCCTGCAGCTATAGGGAAGAGGAGAAACTTGCCTGTTCTGAGAAAAACATACTTGAAACAATAAACAAACAAAGATCAAAAGACCTGTTTGAAAAATAATTGGATATAAATGGGAACCATATGGAAAGAGAAAGGAAACTATGAATAATCACTTAGGAAGTCTCCTGAAAGATAACTTTTTAGAAATATCAACAAAATATCAGCAGTTTCCTTTATTTTGGCATTAATATTTAACCTAGTTCTGGGAAAATATAATGCCTATTAATCAAAAATATAGTACTTATTTAGTTACAGAGAACAAAAAGTATATGCAAATTTGATTTAAAGGTTCTTGCAACCATGTATAAAACATTCATAAATAAACACCTACAAGTTAAATTTTAAACTACACTTTGGGAGATCTTAATGATAATAGCTGCATTTGACCCCAGGCTCAGAGTATAGCGATCCAAAAATATTTTCCCCCAAGAAATAGCAATGGCCACCGACTTCTGAGCTCTATTAACACTGAATCTTTTTATTTTCTAACTCCAGCTTAATTTTTTTTGTCAGTAACATTGAAATATAATGAGGAATCTAAAACTGCATTAGACTATGCTGAGTATTAAAGAAATAGAGTCCTATAATGATGTTAAAAAGAACTCAACAACTATAATAGCTATAGTAGATATCAATTATTTGTCTACCTGACCTCCTTCTTCCCTCATTCCAGGAAATCCATCACACCTCTTCTGAGAACTGTTCCTTTCAGCCACCCTATTACTTAAGTGGCTCTAGTGAGAGCTATAGATTAAAGTCACATAAAGCTCTCACCAGGGCTAGGAATGTTTGCTAAAATCTCTCCCCTGAACTCTTGAATGAAACTGAGGGAAGAGTAATGTCTTCTCTGGTAGTATAGCTGAAAAAAACCCCAACAGCTCTGAGTTTGCTTGCAGCCTACAAAAGTGGGAATACTACTATTCAGTAGGAAAACTGTGGCTGAAATAGAAAAATGCAAAAATGGAGAAGGAGGGAGTGAAGGTAGTAGAATTCCCCAAGTGGATTAAGAAGAGTTAGTTTTACTTTAACCTCCACCTAAAATAACCCTGATTTCTACACTAGCTACCCTGCCTTGTGCCAGAAACTGGGCTAAAAATTTCACATACACTAATTCACTTAGTCCTTACAATTATTATATAAGCTAGGTATTATTGCTCTCATAATTAAAGAAAAAGAAACTGGTTAGAGGGATAAATGCCTAAAGTTAGACATTTAATTCACTGAACAATTACAATTATTTTACTTTGCTTGACCACAAAGATCAAACTGTTTGTTATTGTCAAATACTATTGCTAATTTACTTTCCAAACTCATACGCATTTCTCCTGCATGGAGAGAGTAGGTCATTTAAGTAAAGACAGAGAAGTTTATTGAACTAGAGGGAATCATCTTCTTTTAAAGGTTACACATGTGGCCCAGATTTGCTAATAAGTGAATAAAGCTACTAACTCTATATCATTTGTTGTTGTTGTTGTTTTCTTTTTGAGAGGAAGAATTCCATAGAGTTAGCCAGACTGGCTTCAAACTTGGGATCCTACTGCCTCAGCCTCTTGAGTAGCTGGGATATACAGGCATACACCACTGCACCAGGTCTGACTCTATATTCTAATACTTGAACTGGCTTGTTATAATAAAGTTTGAGTAATAAGCAAAATAAGTTGTGATCACTTTTTAAATTCAATTCCAGAAAAGATGTTCTTATTTATTAGATAATATGCTATTGAGCCAAGAACCTCAATAAGTTTTGATTTCCATAAAAGATTTTTACATAATTTCAATGTAACAGGCATATACTGGACACTTTCATTATGTTCTGCTTTGTATCAGATATAAGTGGTATACCAAATCAATAAAAATATATTTTCTTCTCCTGCAGAGGTCACTTGGAGGAACAGGACATAGGTACCTTAAGCAGCTTACTGACACAGGTTAGGAAGCATATTGTTATTAAAATTAGAAATCATAAAGTCAAGACCACATGTTATAATGGTTTGGATGATAAAAAAATATGTGCCAGAGGGAAGACTGATAACTCTGTGAAGAATGTGATGGAATCTTTAAGCATAAGCAAAACTTGTACAGATAAAGAAGAGATGGGAGGGCACTGCATCTGATACCTTTATTTTATTTACTAAGTATTTAGAGAGTCCCAATAGTAAAATTGTTATAGAAAGCCACACATGTAGTGCTTAAGTGATAAATGAAGCAACGAGAAGAGGAAAAAAAATATTCTAAACACAATGCATCCAAAGAATATGTCACTAATTTGATACAGGAGCTTGTGGAAGAGATACTATTAATATGATGCTCAAGATCAGGGGAAAGGATGAGGTATCGAACAACTTAATTTGCTTTTCAGCTCAGAGTTATTTCCTTGTAAATAACAGACTA